CTGAGGTAAAAAACACCAGGCCCAGAGTGGAAGCTGGCCTTACTATGGAAGACCTAATAGTCATGGGATCCTGAAAAAGAAAGAGCAACCCATTTGAGACCTGAAAATTTCTAACAGTTCAGTGCTCCATCAATGCCTTTCAGTTTAGAGGTTATATGTCTCTTCTAACATGCTCTCCACTTCATGTTCCCAAGATAACCATTGCCTCTGTCACAGAAGATTTCAAGAACATTAACCCAGCTGATGCTTCAAACAGTCATTGTCATTTCCATCTTCCATCTTCTAGAGCATGACAGTAAATTTGGGGGAAAACACTCCAAACCTAGGAGTGCATTCTGGCCTGTACGCTGAATGCCCTGAAGTCATGGAACCCCCAGAAGAAAGAAAGACCCACTGGAGACCTGCCAATACCTAACAGTTCAGTGCACCTTCATTGGCTGTCACTTCTGAGGTCATATATCTCTACTAACATGCTCTTCATTTAATGTTCCCAAGGCAACCATTGACTGTCACAGAAATTCTCAGAACCCTAATCCAGTTGCTGCTCCACACAGGCATTGTCGCTTCCTTCTTCCATCTTCTACATCGTGACACTGAAATCTGAGGAAAAGAACACTATGCCTGGGAGTGGATGCTGGCCTTTACTATGAAAGACCTAAAGTCAGAGAAGAAAAGAAAGACCTGCTTGAGACCTGCCAATTCCTAACACTTCAGTGCTCTGTAATTGGCTATCACTTCTGAGGTAATTTCTCTCTCTGTTAACATGCTCTCCATTTACTATTCCCAAGATAGGATTGCCTCTGTCACAGAACAATTCAAAAACCCTAATCCACTTGTTCCTTTAGACAGGCATTGTCGTTTTCATCTTCCATCTTCTACATCATGACAGTGCAATCTGAGGAAAAGAACACCAAGACTGGGAGTGGAAGCTGGCCTGTACTGTGATGCCCTAAACTCATGGGGCCCTGAGAAAGAGTGAAGGACCACTGTGAGACATACAATTCCCAACAGTTCATTGCTGCCAAAATGGCTTTCAGTTCAGAGGTAATCCTTCTCTCCTACATGCTCTCTCCATTTAATGTGCCCAAGACAGCAATTGCCTCTGTCACAGAACATTTCAAGAACCCTAATCCAGTTACTGCTTCAGACAGGCATTTTTAATTCCTTCTTCCAACTTCTACATTATGACAGTAAACTCTGAGAAATAGAATACCTCCACTGGAAGTGGAAGCTTCCCTAAAACCATGGAACACTGAAAAAGATAGAAAGATCCACTTGAGACATGCAAATTCCTAAGAGATCAGTGCTCCATGTGTGGCTTTCAGTTCAGAGGTAATCCATCTCTCCGGATACACTCTCCATTTAATGTGCCCAAGACAGCCATTGCCTCTGTCAGAGAACATTTCAAGAACCCTAATCCAGTTGCTGCTTCAGAAGTCATTGTGTGGATTTCACCTTCCATCTTCTACAGTATGACTGTAAAATCTGATGAAAAGATTTCCACACCTTGTCGTTGAAGCCCTCCTTTACTATGAATGCCATAAAGTTATGCGACCCGGAAATCAAAAGACCTGCTTAAGACATGTAATATTCTAACAGTTCAGTGCTCCATCAATGGCTTTCACTTCAGAGGTAATCCATCTCTCCTAACTTGATCTCCCTTTAATGTGCCCCAGACAGCCATTGCCTCTGTCACAGAACATTTCTAGAACCCTACTGCAGTTTGTACTTCACACAGGCATTGTTGTTTCCATCTTCCATCTTCTACATCATGACAGTAAAATCGGAGAAAAAGAACACCACACCTGGGAGTGGGAGCTGGCCTGTACTATGAATGCCCTAAACTCATGGGACACCAAAAAACAAAGAAAGATAGACCCATTTGAGACCTGCAAATTTCTAACACTACAGTGCTCCATCAATGGCTTTCAGTTCAGGGGTAATCCATCTCTGTTCACATGCTCTCCATGGGATGTGCCCAAGACAGCCATTGCCTCTGTCACAGTACATTTCAAGAACCCTAATCCAGTTGCTGCTTCACACAGGCATTGTTGTTTCCGTCTTCCATCTTCTACATCATGACTGTAAAATCTGAGGAAAAGAACACCATGCCTGTGAGTGGAAGCTTCCCATACTATGAAGGCTCTAAAGTCATGGGACACTGAAAGAAAAACTTTCTTGAGACGTGCAAATTCCTAACAGATCAGTGCTCCGTAAGTGGCTTTCAGTTCAGAGGTAATCCATCTCTCCTGATACACTCTCATTTAATGTGCTCAAGAGAGCCATTGCCTGTGTCACAGAACATTTGAAGAACCCTAATCCAGTTACTACTTCAGAAGTCATTGTCCTTTCCACCTTCCATCTTCTACTTCATGACCTGAAAACCTGAGGAAAAGAACACCACGCCTGGGAGTGGAAGCTGAACATTAGTATGAATGCCCTAAAGTCATGGGACACCGAATAAGAAAGAAAGAAAGACCTACTTGAGACATGCGAATTCCTTACAGGATGGTGCTGCATAAGTGGCTTTCATTTCTGAGGTATTAAATCTCTCTTAACAGGCTCTCCACTTAATGTGCCCAAGACAGCAATTGACTCTGTCAGAGAACATTTCAGGAACCCTTATTCAGTTGCTGCTTCACACAGACATTGTCATTTCCATTGTCCATCTTCTACATCATGACTACAAAATCTGAGGAAAAGAACACCATGCCTGGAAGTTGAATCTGGACTTTATTATAAATGCTGTAAAGTCATGGAACCCTGAAAAAGTAAGAAAGAAAGATTCTTTTGAGACCTGCAAATTTCTAACACTACAATTCTGCATTAATAATTCCTAACACTACAGTTCTGCATTAATGGCTTTCAGTTCTAAGGTAATCCATCTCTCCTGAAACACTCTCCATTTAATGTGCCCAAGACAGCCATTGCCTCTGTCATAGAACTTTTCAAGAACCCTAATCCAGTTGCTTTACAGTCATTGTCGTTTCCACCTTCCATCTTCTACATCATGATTCTAAAATCTGAGGTAAAGAACACCACACCTGCGAGTTGGAACTGGCCTTTATACTATGAATGCCTTAGGTATGGGACCCAGAAAATGAAAGAAAGACCCATGTAAGACATGCAAATTCCTAACAGGTTAGTGCCTCATAAGTTTCTTTCATTTCTGAGGTAATCCATCTCTCCTCACATACTCTCCGTTTGATGTTCTGTGAACTAACATGTAAGATTGTTACCCGTGCAGATAAATGCTTTTATAATTAAAACTCTATTGAATGGATTTCTCTCTTAGGTAGTTCCCTGCTGTATGTTTCAATTGTTGGAGTATTGTCATAGAAATGTGAATTGTGTTCTGTGGCAGGGGGAAGTATAATTTTGTTAAATAAATTAGCATCAAATCGTATTCATTTATCAAATTACATAACTTACAATGCCAATAAATTAAATAGCTTAGGAAAGATGATAACTTTTGAAAGAGCTTTGGAAAATATTATTATAAAATAGTTTGACAAAAAACATAATTCTAAAAAAAATTTTAGAATGATACTTTACTGTACAATCTGAGTACTCCACAGGAAACATGACTTCTGGGGTGGGAAATTACTTACTCAGGAGTTAGTGTGAGCTTAACTTCTGATAGTTCTGTTTCCTGTATATATGACCTTGGGTTATTTACATTTGTGAGCCTATAAAATGGGGCAAATAATAATACCTGTGACATGCTTCTGATTTGAGGTTGAAACATAAATTGCCTCATGCTGTGTCTGTTGCCTTATAAATATTGTCTAGTATTACTAAAATGTCTCTAAAGTTATATTGCCATCGTATTTAGAAAATTAATGCAAATGAAAGAGAACACAAGAGGAAAAAGAAAGGGAGACAGATGTAAATGGATCAGCAATGCTGTTTAAGCAGCAGAGGGGCATATCTTCAAGACTGGCTACAATGAAGATTGAAATGTAAGTTGCTTCATGCAGTGTGTGGTGCCTTATATTATGATTTTATATTATATTATATTATATTATCTATTATGATTTCTTCATATTACTAAAATGTCTCTCAATTCATGTTACCATTGTATTAGAAAATGTAAGAGAATACAAAGGAAAAAGAAAAGGAGACAGACCTCAATGGATCAGCAATGCTTTATTAATCAGTGGAAGGGCATATTTTCAAAAGGAAAATAGAAGCTGACTATAAGAAGTGTCTGAGTTTTATAGGGTTTAGCAGGCAGATCATGGATGGAGTTCGTCAGTTATTTTCTGTGTGCAGGGGGATTTTGGCAGATAAGGAAGATTGTGACAGGTCAGATTCCTCTATTTACTTTTTACCCCAAGGGGTTCTATGTTTCCATTTCCTTCAGTTTTCTACATAGATGTTTACACTTCAAATTTAGCTACAAATTAGGGAGCACATATTCATAGAAAGTACATTTTTACAAAATTATTTATCATATTTCCTGTTCCACCATGATATTATGATTAATCAAAAATTAAGTTCTATTAAATGTATTGTTTAACTCTGTTAAATTCCACAAAATGATTATATTTGAACCAGTTCTTTTGGTTAAATCTCAATTCTCTTTTGAAAAATAAAACATAGATTTGTTAATTTTAGTAAAATAAAATTTGAATATGTATAAGCCTAATAATAATTTTTTTCCCAAAAGTTTTAGTAGAAAATTTATGACTGTTTTACAGTCATGAAAATGTACATAATTGTCATTTGAAAATTAGTAGTTATCTAATATCTGAGTGTTCGAGGGTTAAAACAACTCCAAGGTAGCAGATTATTCAGACACAATGAGTACAGCCTTGTCTGTAATTAGTTTATATTTAGTCTTGTATTTGTGACTGTCACTGTTGTTTTTTTTTTTCCTTTCTCACTGGGCATGGTCATATTTCTAGAATTTCTACCATTAGAGATCATGCCTGATGAGATGTAAACTGAAGTTACTGCCCCCAAATCATTTTATTATTCTGAGGTGATAGAAAGTAAAAAAGAGAGAGAGGGAGAGAGAGAGAGAGAGAGAGAGAGAGAGAGAGAGAGAGAGAGAGAGAGTGAGTCTTGTGTATTTTTATATAATTCCAAAGGTTCTGGACATTAAAAGTAAGTTGTGTGAAGTGCTAATTAACATGTTTGATCATAGGCATTGCCACAAACAGATGGGGAGATTTGTTTTACTTTCCAAGCAAGCACACATATAAATGTATTAATAAACAATCATATTCTTGATAGATTTGGAAGGAATATAGGGATGATATGCGAATGGGTGGACTGGTCCACTCTACTCCCCTATTGGAGAGGTAAAACTGATTCCGTGTATTTTCATGCAAACTTAAAATATGGTTAAAATTAAGTAGGTTTTGTGTTATTTTCTTTCCAGAGGGCATTTGTTCTTTGGTCTGAATATGTTTTCTCTCTGTTAAAGAGAAATGTGAGATGAGTTGAAGTTAATGCAGATTATTTAAACAAGGACAAAGATTCTAGAACTACATAGCTTTCCAGACTGAAGCTGGTTCAGAGTGCCTCACACCATCACATGCGGTGTGCTGTATCTATAGTGAGAGAAAGCAACCTACAGAGCCAAGCTGACTGGCTGCACTCAGCAGTCTTACATGAGACTCAGCTATCAGTTACAAAAATATAGTTTTACATTACTTTTCAGTTTTTTTTTACATAATAAGTTAGGTTGTCATTAATGCATGGAGGCAGATTTGGGCCAAATTTTATCCCCCAATAAAAAATAGACTTAGGCCAAACTTCACAACATCACCAACCCATGTGGGCCAAATATTCCAAACCTAGAAACAATAAAGTGTCATTCATACAAGCTCTCTGGGTGGTTTGTGAGCCTGTGGGCCAAAATTAGCTTGTTTTCTATCCAGTAACTCACAATGGAAACACACAAAAAGACCTAGATTAAGGTAAGGATTTAGAAAATGCATTTCACTATTAACTGAGAAAGAAGGACTTGTGCCTTATTATATTAAAATTACTTAGGCAAGATAGAGATGATTAACATGTATGTCAATGAATACTCTTCAATCTAGAGTTGTATTACAAAAAATAATGCTTGCTATCTATTCACACAAGTTAAAAACTGATTTCAGTACACATATAACATGACTGCTAATTGTCAAGGCTCTGACACTGTAGTTCACATGTAAGATGGCATTGGCTATAAATCTTACTATTTTAATGGATTCTTTGAGTTCTATGATGCCTTGTGGAATTTTAAAAAGTATGTTGGTTTTGACAACATGTTCAAACCTCAGCTGTCAAACCTCAACTGTCTCTTATGAATGAAAGAGTACTACTTATTTCATTATATGAGCTTTCATTTTAAACTTTTTTCAAATGAAATTATGAAAAGGTTAGTGTGCCTTGTGTAGTTTTGATAACCATTCAAGCTGCTCTTTGGATACAAGTTTTATTTATCTGTTTAGGTTATTGTCCATTCATTATTTTCTGTATTTGAAGCAAAATATGTTGAGTTTTATTAGGATTCTTTTAAAAAAATACTCTTTCCATGTCAACTGGATTATTAGCAATAATAGAAGTGCTATTCTAATATATTTATGTGTTCTAGGATTAAAGTCATTTGCTTGAAAAAATAAGTGACAGAAAGAAAGAAACTTGTAAGTATCAAAAACCTGAGTTTGAACTGTATGCCTCTACTTAATAGGTGTGTAATTGCCTGGGTCACAGTTTCCTCATTAGTAGATTAAAAATTATAACAAAATAGCATGCTTTGTCTCATGTTATGAGGATCAAATCAGAGATTTTAAAATGCTTCTTAAACCAAAAACCAATCTGCATATGCAGTCTAATCTCTTTATTCAGATGTTTTTCAAGTAATGAAATTTATTAAATTTATAAATTAATTTATTTTTGTGTAATGACTAACTATCAGGTTCTTTAAACCTTCTTGACATATTTTTTCTTAGTCTCACATTGGTTCTTTGAAAATGGATGGCTGCAGTTAGGAGGGCAGTTGTTGCCTAGCAACAGCAGTTCCAGAATGACCTCTTTAGCAACATAGCTTTTGGACACAAGTATGCACTACTAAACTACTGTTCACATTCACCAAACAAATTTGTAACTTCTGCAGTTAATCATGTGAAAGAGGATTTGATGACCATGACTAAGGACCTACATGGGTTAAAAACTTTAAGAACTTTTCTTTTTCTAGAAATTAGATTTTACCTATCTGTTGTATTACCTATCTGAAATCCCTTTTGTTTACCCTGTTCATCACAAAGAGCTAATGTCCTTGTATTTCACAAACATCTACTAAAGTCTGTTTTCTATATACCTGGCAAGTATCCAGCCTTACTAAATTCACACTTGTAATAATAACAGTAGCCTAAGCATAAGGTTTTGTTTAAGCTGGCAAATAATTACCCTGCATGATAGACCTGTCAACAGACCCTTTATTAATAAATTTGTTAATGGTTTTTTGCTGTTTATGAAAATGATCAAATTGGCTTTTGCCCTCACATAAGCCTCTAGTTTTACTAAATGTCAAAGTATTCATGTGTATTAGTGTCAGTTGGTTAGAAAAAGTCCTTTCATAATTTGAGAGTAGGGGATAATACTTGCATTTCTTAGGTTCTGTTAAAGCACATTTTTTTTTTCTTAAAGTAACTATATGAATCACTGAGTGTTCAGGCATTTGGGGGAATCAGATATCTCTCAGTAATCAGCCTTAAAATAGTTTTAACAGTTCACATTAGAGCTAATTAGTTTGTGACTATGTTAATTGCTGTAGGACTAGCTAATTGTTGTGCTGGGATTATTTCTTGTTCTTTTCCGGTCTTTGAGGCAATCATAATATTCATTGGTAAAGCCTGATGTAATACTGTAGACAAATGATACCTCAAGTGTTGGCATTTGCTCTTTAACATCTTAATCTTTGGCATTAGCAAGATGAATGGTTCCTTGAGACCTGAAATTCAGGATATTAACTTTAGTTTCTAAAAAGAGAGACCAGTTAAAAACTAAATCCATCTGAAGTTTTTTTCTCTTTTCTCAAGCCATCATATGACTTTTTGAAAAAACGAAATCTTATTTATCATGTGTAAAGTCTTGTTTTCCACACAGTACTTGAGGCAAGTGTGTGCAAATTATTTTTCCTGTCACCTACTGTCGCATTTCCAGGTGCTTCTTCAGAAACAAAATGGTTGTAAGAAGCAGAGACTTGAGGGGAGGGAGGATTGGGAATGGTATTTCATAGCTTGTAAATTCTTAATACAGTTTGTCACAAAGTAAAAAGTTTGCAACATTGCTATCTCCCTAAGGCATGCACATCTCTTTTCAGTCAACAATGCCAAGTATGTTTTCTCTAGAAACTTCAGTAAAAAACAATATGCAACTCAACTAATACCAAACATTATTTTTAGAGAAATAAACAAAAGGTATAAAAATCAATTAATGGTTATAACCATTTTGAAAGATGTGTTATTTCAAGATAAATAGGGGAACACAAGCAAAAATAGTTACATAGTTATAACCCACAGATTGTCAAAGATGTAAAATTCTAACAATATCAAGGGTTGAGGTTTTCTGGAAAACAACTGCTCTTTGACAGACAAAATGTATGCAGTAATTTTAGAGACTATAAACTGAAGATGTACATACTGTGACGAGTAATATGAATGCTGGGTATCTGCAAAAGAGATTAATCATCTGCCAAGAGAGACGGGAACATAGATGAACTGGAAACAGATTAAATGCTCACCAAAAGGTAAAATGTGGCACATAAAAGTAACAACCACTTGCATGATTCAGCAGGAATAACAAACTGCAAGATCATATTTTCACAGAAATCAGACGTAATTGATGAAGTGATAAGTATATAAAATGTGAGGGTACTGTGTTTAAAGAATAAAATAATTGAAAATGTATTTAGGAAATAAGAGCCTGTCAAAGTTCATGGAAAACTCCTGTTTGTAAAAGGATCTAATAGATTTTCTAGAATTCAAAGGAGTACATAGCAATTGAATAAAGGCAGAGTTAAAGATGTAATTAGTAAAATGGAAGATATGGCAGAGAAAATTAGAATGAAGCTATGAGAGACAAAGATATAGAAGGAGTTAAGATGAGATTAGAGCATAGAAGATGATAGTGAAACTAAAAATGTTCCATAAGAAAACACTAAGGGTAGAAGGCTGGTATTATGTGAGATAATAAGTACCTTCACCTAGAACTTGTTAAGGTCTCAAGTAAGTCCTCAGATTCAGAAAGGCCCGAATATCACAAGCCCAATAATTAAAGAAGAATCCACACTTAGACAACCAATAGCAAAACTGAAAAACCCAGCAGAAAAAAGTAGGATATTAAAGTCAGAGAAAAAAGATAAAATGCCTAGAAACTCTGAACATCTCAACACCAGTAGAAACTGAAAAATAATGGTAATAATCTCACGTGCTGAGAGAGGATACTCAGCTCATAAGTGTAAATTCAGAAAGATTACCTTGCAACAAAGATATTGGAATAAAGATGTTGTCAAACAATAGGCATTTTTTGTTATCCACAGACTCAAAATCTCACAAAGGAAATTTTGCACTTTTGAAAGGTTGCACTTCAGGGAGAAAGAAGAAAAATGACCACAGGTGCAGAATACAAAAGGAAAATGTCAACAAATAAAAATTAAAAAAAAATTGAGTAAACTAAATAAGCACTATTTGTATAAAAATAATAAACATCTAACTTGGAAAGTTACAATCAAGCTACAACTGAAATCCTAGAAAACAGTGTAGAAGTTAGGAGAGCAGGGATATTAGTTAAAACATTCTAAGTAACTTATATTTTTTCCAGAAGACAGAGCTACTGGTTGTCCTTGAACTTTATTCAGATTTAAATATCTTTGTGGACATATCTTTGGTAATCATTAAAGGAAAATAGAATAATGAATTCTGAAAAAAAAAAACAATCCAAACAAGGCAAGAAAATTGATAAAGGAAAAAAATGAGACTAATAGAAAATACAAATTTAGATGATATAAATGAATACAAGTGAGTGATTAATAATTCTTCTAAATGGTCTCAATTCTATAAAACATTGATTGTCAAAAATCAGTTTGAGCTGATTTGTGTAAAAGATATAGCTGAAATAAAAGCACATGAAGGCAGGCTGAACATAAGTGAATAAATATAAGGAATAAACCAAATAAGATAGCTCTTAGAACAATACAATATTTATAAAATAGATTTTTCCTTCTTTAAAATTTTTATTTTTGTGTATAATTTTTCATTTGTCATATAATATATATATATATATATATATATATATGTACAGAGTATATTTGACACTCATACATCAAGTGTACCTTAGTCTAATTAGGATCCCATTCTTGTGGTTGTATATTATGTGCATTTTTACTGGTGGTGTATTCATATATGAACATGGGAAAGTTGTACTCTATTAATTCTACTGTCTTTCCTATTCCCATTCCCATTCCCTTACCTTCATTCTCTTTTGTGTAACCCACTGAACTTCTATCCTCCACCCCACACCCCTTATTGTGTGTTACTTTGTGATGCTAGGTCTCTAACTTTTGAAACATATTTTTATTTTGTCAATATGCTTCTATTAGGTTTGGCCCATGAGAGCAGTTAGGGGAGTCTGGACAACCTTGCTGAAGTATGTTATTTTAGCACTTTATAATGTGGTTTAGACATTGGTTTACAGTGGCTATTTAGGAACTCGCTCAAATCTTCATCTGAGTCCAGATAAAATAATGAAACGATAGAACCTCATATTTTCATATGAAAATTCAGAATGTATTACCCTATTGTTGGAGTCTGAGAGAAATTGTTTTCAACTAATTTCAAGACTAATGAAATAAGAACAAAGGGCAATTGATGGTTCAGTCACAGTCTGCAGCCATGGGAGGACTCCACCCCATTGATTTATAGAATATTTGGTTCTTTGTCCCATAACTCTAATAGTGATATAGGGAAGAAATTTGATGTTATTTTTATTCATGATCCTTTACAAATTGGCTGTTTTTTCCTTCCTGAAACCATTTGAACTTTTATTTATATTTAATACTCTGAAATGATTTATCAATTTATTTTACAATGATTTATCTGGATGTCTTAATTTTCCTTATTCTATTTACAAGTCATAATGTGGGCATTTCTTATCTAGATTCATGTATAACTTCAGTTCTATTAGATTCTTACCATTATTCTTTAGAAAATTCTCCTTCATTTTCTTGTTTTGTTATTCTTGTTAGTTGGATATTGAGCTCCTCAGTTGATCTTATTCTCTGAATTGTCACTGTTGGATCAGCAGTCACTTTTTTAAATTAATTTTTTTCCCACTTACATTGTCAGTTATCTTTAATGTGTATTGTTTCTTGCATATGTACTTGTAATTAAAAACAATATTTGTAGAGATACTAGCTGGTATCTATCTTCTGCAGGCTTTCCCAGAAATAAGAAAAAATAACTCAAATTTCAGAATGTGCTAAAGCAAAACTGCCAGGGCATTTTATTTCTTTCTTTGAAGATAAACACGTTTTTGGTTGTTTTTAAAATTCTGTTACTTTTCTCTTTATTGCTAAAGGGATAGATAGTTGCCTGGCAGTCATTCTATATACTAAAGTGGAAAGTTCCATTGTTTTATACTCATTATTCAAATGTTCTACTTTTCCTAACCATATTCTTTCAAACTGCTGCCTCAAACTATTTTTCCAGGATCTACTCAGCTACGTCCATTCCTGTATGCCCATTTTTAGTAGGTGGATTTTTATACTATATATCAAGTACCATTCTTCTATGTGCTACCTTATAGAAATTTGAAGTCATATTATCTATCATTTTCACCATAGTAATTGCCAATATTTGGGTTCATGTTCAAATAATGTCTTTTCATTCCTAATACAACATTCCTAACGCAGTGTCATAAGCTTCTACCTCTCCCTGTCAGCTAAAACTTCCCTTTGTCTCCAGAGAGTTCTACATGATACTCTAGTGCAAATATGCCTCTATGATGTTTAAAAATTTATCTCAAATCACCACCAACTATAAAATTAAATGTGAACTTTTAATTTAGTCAGTAGAGTACTTAAAAATCTATTACCAGCATGATACCTGAGTATGCTTTATTTGACTATATTTTTTCTGTCTTTTCCAGACCATTTTCCTCTGAGGAAAGAGCCATGTTTTATTTACCTGTGTATCTTAGTGCTAACATAAGTTTTGGCACAAAATACTATTTGAATAATCTATTCAAGGCACCTTTTGAAAACCCATACTGTAAGTTCTGGATATATAGGTTTAAACAAGATATACTGAATTAATAGTCTATAGATAGTTCTCATTTTTATCACCTTCTATCCATTTATGTCCTGACATATTGTGCTTCACCATTTTTATAAAACATCAAGAATATTCAGAATTCCATGGCTTCTACATTCCATTATAGTGGTTAGGATTTCTAGTAATTAATAACCAAAATCTTTGTGATACCTTGACATCTGGGACTTTGGGAGGGCCTTAAACAACCTAATTTCAAAATTCTCTCTGTATTCTGCTTTCACAAATGGGTCCCCTAGCTATTAAGCCCTAGTTTTCAAGAGACTGGGCATAGTTTTTGCTTATCTCTGAGTAGTAGGCTTCAGTTCCCTGAGAGATAGCCATGGAATCATTTGAATAAGCCAATCAAAGTATCCCACAGTAACCAGGAGTAGGGGACAGCCCACCATCTCAAAGCTACAATGCCTACCTTCACAGTCCCCAGTTGCTCACTCTGATCCCAAGTGGTGAGGGTCCTCTTTCTTTTGGCTGTGAGTCCCTGTGACTAAATGTAGCTTTTAATCTCATCTATCCAGTCAGTGCTTTGTGCATGTGTGAAGTTATCTCTATTAACATAGGACCTTCTTCTTTGCTCTACTTCTTCACCAATGGTGTAAATAGGAAATGACTAAATGTTTCCTCTGCTAGAAAATTTATATTTTTCCTTCTCTACATTTGACAAAGCAAAGGACTTACCAGCCTAAAGTGAGTTCATTTGTGAATATTTCCCAACTTTTTACTGAGTTATGTCATCTTCTTCATTCTTGCTCACTTTTATTCAATTTTCTTATACCATGACATAACTTTTGCTAATGTGCATTGTCTTCTTTCATACAGTGAGCATCTCAAAGGGGAATTTTTTTTGTTTCCCTAGTAACTAGTAAAATTCATAATACTTAAGTGTTTGTTCAGAATTATTTGCCAGAAAAGTTATCAAATATATTTTTTTAAAAACTGTGACAGCAGCCATTTACAACCATTACACTGGGTCAATCCTTTATGGTACTTATGATTTAGTAAAACTTGGCAATCTAAGATTGCAAGTCACGGCAAGGAAAAGCCAGATAAGTTCCTTATATAGTTGATGCACATAAGAAAATATACATGAAATAATATGACTAACTTGGAATGTCTTATGTACAGTTGTGTAGTATTTTAGAGATTTCTTTTTTTATGATGGAATGCTGACATAACTATTTAAAAATAATTTTAAAATATCAACTAGGAAACCCCATGTTATAAAAACATATCTCAAAGAAGCAACTAAATGCTGAAAGGTCCAGTAGATTTAGGCAATATAATTATATTGAAATTGCTGAGGAACTACTTAAAGTCAAAAGTGTGACAATCTCTTCTCCATTCAGATTGCTTCATTAAGTGAAAATAGTAGGAAGCCATTGAAACTTTCCTTCATTATTTCTTAATATCTTATTAAATCCCTAATAAATAATGGAATACAGACTAGATGAAGTGGCATATTGTTAAATTCTTGCACTAAGTTTTCTGAGACGAAGTCTTGGAATGTGTGTTCTGATAGATTTCTATATACCTCAGTAAGTAATGCAATTTACCAAAAGAAAAAGTGTACTATCTATGTGGTGTTTGTTTTTAATTATGAGTTGCCTGTTTTCTTATAGATGAGAGAGAAAAAGAAAAATGGAATAGAAATATGGACAAACGGAAGGGAAAGGAAGAGACAATGAGTGATTGATTAATAGAAAGTACAACGTTCCTCTAACTTTCAGCAAGAGAAGTACAACATACATAATTTTAGATAATGACAAGAGAGAAAACATTTTATTGACATTATACACAAGAATCATTCTTAGGTGGAAAATAACATTTCATAGTGATATATTAATTCACAGCCCATATCTATTAGACTTAGCAATGTCTAATTGCATCAAGTAGCTATTGGTATGAAATACATTGTTTGAAAACTCCTGACATAAAACTGCAATCATTTATTTAGCTAATGATTTTGCAATGTGGAATTATGGGATGGGCCTAGCTGGGGCCTAGCTGGGCCTAGCTTGGTAGTTTTTCTACTTGGCTTGGCTCCCTCATGCTCTCCCTCAGTTTTGCTCATCTTGACTGAATATTTTTTCATATTTCTGGGGCCTTTTGTAGGGCACCTATGATGAAGCTCTAGTTCACACATTCTCTTATTGCCCAGCAGATTAGCCCAGGCTTATTCATTTGGTGGCTGAGCAGAGAGCCAATAGAGAAAGAAGCCTGTAAAGTTTATGGAGTGTCTTGTCCTGGATGGGATACACTGTCACTTTTACTGCATTGTATTTGCCCCCCAAACCATAAAGTCATCTCAGATGCAAGGAAGAAAGTCACACTTCAAAAGATGTAGGTATAGAAAGGAATTAAGAATATGATCCTTATTGCAATTTGTTACACAAATATACTAAAATGGAAACTATTGATTACAAAATTCTGGGAACAATGATGATAAAATATTTTTAAATCAGAAATTCGTTTTTATCTTAAAATTTGATCAGTATTTATTTTAGATTTTTATTTCTACTTTTTTTCTTGAAAGTATTGATGAAATGAAAATAGTTGATTTTCCTGAAAATATAAATAAACTAATTTGCAAGGGAATGTAAATTAAGCTGCCAGACTAGGTTATATAAGTTCATGGTCTTGAATTGATGTTATTTTAGCTGTATATAAATTTTCCAGCTGTTAATCTCTATGTAATTCATAGGTTAGTGCATTTGAATATAAATCATTTACTGATAAATTTGGTATTTCATTAATATTATTAAAATAATATTTAAAAGGTTAAATTAATAACATTAAAAGCCATAAAATCAGTTTTAGGTATATTTGTTATTAGAGAATAAAATTAATTGTTTCACTTCATGATTGGTAAAAGGGGATAATGTTTTGTTTTAAAATTGTCATGATGTAGCAAAAAAAGAATAAGACAGATTAAGTTCTATGCCACTTCCTATTACATAGTGAATGATTAGCATCAATCAAGGTTGTTAATAAAACATAAATTAGGTAAAATTTCTGCAATGTGTCCTAGACTACCATTCTCAGTTTCATAAGATAAAGATTGATTTTAGGATCAGAAAATCGAGAAATCCATGCAAAACATTCTCTAACTTACTTGTTGATTAGCTTAGAAAGCAAAGAATCCAAAACTATTATCCAATTCAGGTTTCTCATATCCATAGGAAATTACTATGAATACTTATTTTTAATAATCTGTATATATTGGAGACTAAATAAACGTATGCTAAAATGAGTTAACTCTAGAGTACAGATTTTTTTTTTTAAGAAAAGTTGACTTTGACATGATTTGCTGATAATAGTATCTAATAAAGATACTATTATAATATTTTATGTAAAATGGTCACTATACTGTTCCCTGAAACAATAATAGAGAAGGTAAAACAATGCAATTGCTTTTATCTAACCTAAGTTTTAGTGTGTGCCATTGCTGAAAATTATGTTTAACTTGAGCACTGAATAACAAATCTTCTACTACAAAATGGAGACACAAATTTAGTTTAAGCTTTAGATTCAGTGAAATATAGAAAGCAGAATAGGTTTTCCTTATCTCGATACAAATCTAAAAATTATTTTGAGAATAGCTGAGTTGAATGGTAGTGTATTCCTCCACCCCTTCCCTTCAAATTAAATGGGCTATTTGGTCATTGGCCCAATTGATGGGCTGTTGTTTTTGGAGACTGACAGGAAACATTACAATTCATTGAGGTTTCAACCATAGGTATGAGTCTAGCATTTAGTTGCACTGAATTTTTCTCATGGATTTAATAGATAATATTTTAATTTCATAACCTGCCAACGTTGATGTCTCAATATGAATGAAACACTTGGGTAAGTCAATTTCTTTTTCAAGTCTACACATTTATGTATTTTGGCCATCATTTTAAGTTTTGTTGTCCAATTAAGTAAAACTGAATAAAGGATTTTTCTTAAAAATCAATAAAAAGCCTCTTTATAGCTATTTTGGTGGACAGAATGTTAAATTATCATATACCAAAAATTATCACATACCAAAACGTGTTCTAAGCTTAACTATTTTATTATCTAAGGCAAAAACAGAAAATTTTGACATGATCTATCATCAACCTACTACCTGACATGTACTATGTTAATTTCCTATTTAGAACCACCATTTCACATTGTATTCTAAACAATGATGGGCAAAGCACTATGTTAACTTGTTCGAATGATGACAAACATAATCGCTTTCTGTTAAGTTGGTAATTGAATGCAAAAACTGAACTTTTTAAGAAATAATTTCTTAAGTTCACAAAATTTATGTAAAGCCTGTGTAACATTAACATTAAAATAATAAGTAGTAAGTCTAAAGAGGGATAAAGGTATTTTTCTAATTCAAAACTTAATTGCAATATTCTTATATTTTATATAGTATTTTATTTTAACTTATTTGGTACTGGGATTTGATCCCAGGGATACCTAATCTCTGAGCCACATTCTCAGCCCTTTTTGTTTTTTATTTTGAGATGGGGTCTTGCTAAATTGCTTAGGTTCTCACTAAGTTGCTGAGGCTGGCCTGAAACTAGCAATCCTCCCCTGCCTCAGCCTCCCCCAATGTTGGAATTGCAGGCATGTGCCACCACACCTGGCTTATATTTTATACAGTATTTTAAGTAACTAAATTTCAATAGAAGTTATCATGCCAGTACGGTTTCATCCTTAGAGACTTGTACTATATGCTGTAACTATGCAAATTAGGATAATATTGTGTTGAGTCTTGACTGATAACATTGATCACACGGAGCAGTCAGTCATGTAATGGGCACTAAATGATTTGCCCTTTTGAGGGTTTCAGCTGACTAGTTGAGGCATTTGTTGTAATTTCATCCTTGTCAGCTATAGATATAGTGGAAGCTGCTTTAAAGTAACACATTTAAAAAGTAGAGGAAATTTTTAAAATTCCACAATTTTAATGTTCACCTTACTCCCTGAGCAATTATTCTTTCTGGTACTCCAAATATCTAGCATTTTTTTTTCCAGTTGAAGACAGGAGTTTTTGAGGGAAAATGAATAAATGAAAATGAAATTCATTATTCATTTGACTTAAAAGTTATCCTTAGAGAGGGTGGGCAATGACTGTCCTTCACTTATGGTAGTTAGACTTGTCTAGCTAGGCCATGGTCTGTTGAGCTGGGGGCAGGAATCCTCATCTAAGATCATGGCTGATAAGGAATAAACCAGACAGGGTTCATCAATCTCACAAAACAGAACAAATCCAGGCTAAATTTAGCTCCCCAAAATTTATTGTAATACTGATGAACCAGGCCTAATGTAGAGCATTTATTGGATGCTTAATAGGTAAAATGAGTATTCTCAGCATATGGATTGTTTCATTTAATCTTCACCACAACCCAACAAGGTATGATATTACTATTCTTGTTTGATAGATAAAGAAGTAGAGAATACAGAGAATTAAATAAACTGCCCAAGGTTACACAGCGAGAACAGTGGAGTCCCCAGGATGGGAGTCAGGGCTGTTCTGGGTGATTGCACACTTAACTCTCCTGCCTGGGAAGGACAGCTGAACTAAGCCTACACCAGCCATTTTTAAGTACTTGAAGTTCTTTGTTCAAGAGTCAAAACTTCAGGAGGGATATCCATTGACTTAGTTGGATCTTAGCTAAAGAGCACTAAGGACTTTGAAAGGATTCCTACATAATATACAAAAACAGATGTTTTTCTCAAAAGGAAATGGAAATGGCATTAAGAGGAAGAATGGATGGCAGGTGTTTTAGTCCATTTGGACTTCTATAACATAAATTCAG